ACATGCCTGGTTCTCTAACTTAGATCGGAGGGTCCGGAATTGTCAGGAGGCTTCCGGAGAGTGCCCTTATGGTTCCCCAGTAGCCCCGAAATAATAAGGGTACCCTTTGTCCCACTAGTTGGTTTTATTAAGGGTACCCTTTGTCCTATTATTTGGTTTTATTGGGGACCTTAAAAAAAAGGGCACTACTGGGGAACCTAGGCCAAATACTGTGAGTGTTGAGGGTCCCGCGAATCGTAGGGTCCTCTGGGCACTTTCAAAATCTGAACCCTAAAACCTCGAAACTTCAAATCCCAAACCTTAAGAAAGCCAGAGTCCCAAAAGCAATAAGCATGGAGGATCAAAAGTCATAGGATTCTCCGGAACCCTGGACCCTAAACCCTCCACCCTAAACCCTACCCAAAGCCCTACACCCTAAACCCTGCACACTGCACCCTAAACCCTACACCCCAAGACCTTAAGTTGGAGGCCTCAGAAGGTGGGATGAAGGTAGGTAGTGTTAAGGATCCTGTATATAAGGACTCTTATTTGGGGATTACCCCACCTACCTTCATCCCACCTTTGGAGCCCTTTGATGGCCCGTGAAGTCTTCGGTCCTCTCGTGACGTGCAAAAGTCATCGGAGCTGCAGACCTCTCTCCAAGCTTCATAACCACGGCAGGCATAAGAATGAATAGACATCATAGCGGGGTTCTGGTTTCATAGGCGAATAACAACAAGTGTAGATATAGATGAAATGATATTGCTAGGATTCTGTTCAATGTTGTTTTAAGGATTTTTTTGCGGACTTTTACAGGGCTTCTGCGGACATACTTGGAGGTAGGGCTATAAGTAAAGTACTTCTCACCCTACTGACTAGGCAAGGAGTTTGTTGAAGGGCTCCGTTCGGTTCTTTGGCGTCTTTCGTAGGACAGCTGCACACACACAGAACACAAACACAAAAAACATGCTGCAGATCTCGGGGTCCAAAAGGAAAGACCTGGAAAGTCACTCTTTGACAAGGGGACCGGAAACCTGAGTCCAGGGTTTAGGTTTCGCAGCAAAGCGTTCAATTAGGCTTAGGGCTTAAGGACCTCGGGTTTGTATGGGTTTGAGGACTTGGGTTAAGGGTTTAAGGTCCGTGACTTACCCCCTCCCCCGTTCCCGTCGCTGCAGCTAGGTCGGCGCAAAGCTCTCGAGCACGAGCGAGCTGTCTCCCTGTCCTCACAATGGCTAACATGGCGAGAAGACCGATGAATTGTCCGGGGCATTCGAGCCGAGATGGGTCAGCAGATGGTTAGTTTACCAAACCCTAAACCGCAGCATGCCCTAGCGCCCAAACACTTTAAACCTTGTGCATGCAACATGTCCCAACCCTCAGCCTTCTTATGAGCCTGCAAGTGTGTGTGGCTAAATCCTCGTAGTGGCAGTACTAGTACGAAGAGCAGCAGTAGCGTTAGTAGTGTTGTGAACGTTTCGGTTAATGTTCACTCGCCACTCGCCGCAATACTGTTGTTTTTGTTGTCACTTTTGACCCTATACACCCGTAGTCTGGGCCATGAATGTGACGGACATGACAATGTAGTGGCTTTTATGCGGCTGGTCCAAGCCTTACATAGTGTACCCCCGTGCTGTCCGGGACCATAGAAGTGCATCAGTCTCTAGCTTTATAGGTGCTGTGGCAGTGTTGCACAAACACAAATGTAAATGGATACATAAGCAAATAAGACAGAAGTGTTTGCGCAATCATGCGCATGCTTCTGCACGTATGCAAGGGCAAGTTCAGGACACATTGCGGAATCTGCCACGAACCCATTTGCGGAAGGGTTTAGATCCAAAGCACACCTGAAGAAAAGTCATAAACCGAGCCTGTCCTTGCGAAAGGAATTGAATGGAACTTTTGGGGGGCCATGTTCGAGTGCATAAGGACTTATATTGCATACTATGGCGACACTGTTGCGGAGTATTCTGGCCTCTATGTCCGTGTTTCAAGGTTTTGGGGATTGATGACTGCCAACATCCTCCAATGACAGGCGGCGTCCCAAGTTCAACACCCCAAAACAAGCTTTAGTCCAAAGTGGCCAGCTCAGTGTTTTTTGCGCTTCTATCGTTGTGGTTAAGGCCTGGGGCAGCTCGAAGGCAAACGCAACTGGGGGCTTCTGGTTGGGGATGTTATGGGATGATGATGGTGATAGCAACAACGGCGGACCGACGTAGTTGTAGTGATGCTGATGGTACTGATGGCAACGGCCACGGAAACAACAAAGGCCACGACGACTTCGATGGTGACGACGATGATGTCGATAACAGCGGTGACCTAGGTATTGCCAGTAACCGTCTGGCCCTCAACACCAGCATCAGCAAGGTCTCCCAAATTGGCCACGTCGCCAAGCTCATTCAACAATGACTGCTCACCACCTGCCGTGCCCGACTCAACGATAGAATCGGCACCAATACTGCGGGCACCCTTGGCAAAGGCATCAACCAGCGTGCGCGGAACAAGACTGCCATCGGCGGATGCCTCGGGCGGAAGCTGCGCAGCAGCAGGCGCCCCGCCTGCCCGTCCGACAGGGATGTGACGACCATCAACAACGGTGTAAATTGTAAATGCAACCTTGGAGCCATCAGGGCCCTCACAAGGATCATCAGCACGCTCACCTCCCCCACGTCCTCCTTTAGGCTCGCCAAGTTCTTGAACGTTGGTAATAACCGCTGGCAAAGGGGCACCAGCAGTAGTGGGAACCAGCAAGTCGTAGTGACCAATCTTCGAGGCTCCACGCTCAAAGCATAGTGCAACCGGGTACGCGCCCGTGCCGTGCTTTGTGCAAGAAATTCCAGCATCAGAAGGGATGACATACACGGAAAGATTGAACAAGCCTGCGGCAGCGGCCAGCTCTAGATGCCCCCAATATTTTCCGTCCATCGCCGCTTCCTTGAGGTAGCCGTCAAAGTCTGCAACACCCCCCTCATCATCGTTTGTATCTTGCTGGTCCCAAAAGTTGGCGAAGAATTCCTTCTTCCCGACCATGTACGCAATGACTTCAGCTC